CGGTGGCGGTGGGTTGTACCTGAGCGCGAGATACCGGTTAATTTGATCGTTTCTACGTTAATACCGGTTTTCTGAAACGAGCAGTGTAAAATCGTGGGGATGTTGGTTTTATTTCTTAGAACAAAATGTGTGTGTATACTTAAAAGCTTTAATTTGAAGGCGACATAAACCTGAGTGTTATTTCACAGCTATTTAAGGCCAGATTCCTTGGAAAGTACATTCCTTTTTCAAAGAGATAACACCCTAGTTTTTATAAACTTTTTTATCATTCCAAAATTGGCAAACTTTTTGGTAATTAATGGTAACTACAACAATTGACGTTTCAAAGATCTGGGGAAGCAAAGGCATAATATTTAATAGCGTGGTATTCTTTTGTCTTTCAGAAATACAAATATAATGTCAGGTGGCTGAAAATTTGCCTATCAAAATGTCAAGTAAGTTCAGATTTTTCTTCCTTTAACTCGATGAATTAAAGATTTGGCTCAGCAGAACCTGTTTGTGAGATTCCTTGCATTAAAAGGAACGACAGGAGGTGTAGTCGTTTCCGACCAAACTCTTGGCCTTAAATCTTGCTGTGGCTGACTTCTGGCGTATTGTTTTCATAGCAAATCCAGATATCACAGCTTCTCCCAAATCCTGTTTCGCTGCATCTTTGCTTTCTCACTTTTTAATTGATGTGCACATAAATGGATGCCATGTTCTTCTCTCTTGTGCCTAAATAAAAGGCGAGCAGTATAGCAATGGTGTGATCTTAATTTTTTTTTTTCTTTTTTTTCTGTTCTTTGCTTTACACTCTTCGGTGGCAAAACACAAAGTCTTTGATTGTAAATAACTTTAAAGTGTTTGCCACAGCAGATGCCTTGTAAAGAATTCATTCAAATTTTCAAGAAAAAAAAAAAATTGCTTACATTTATATCTTAACAGAAAGGCCATCTTATGCCCCACCTCCTACCCCAGCTCCTGCAACCGTAAGTATAGTGATTTTTCTCATTAACACAGATCTGGTAATAAAGCCTTTAATAACTTACCAGAGCAATAGATATGGAGTTGCATCACCTTCCTTTATTGGAAACAAAACCGAGTTGCATTTCATTGTTAATATGATATGCGTTGTTTAAATTAATCTCTCTTTTTTTAAGCAGTTTGTGAAGGAGAAGCTGAATAAAGTTGTTTCATCTTTAAGGCTCGATCCTGCAGATACTTAATTTGCTGTCAGCAGTGGGTGTAAAATTGTATTCACAGTGGGTTGCAACAGAACACTGGAATACTTAAGAACAAACTGATATATTTAATTCTAAAACTTCAACTTGTGCCCGGATCATGAGTGAACAGTGCATTTTTTCACGTTTCTGTTTTACCGAGCTGATTTTCAGTGGAGTGCCAAATTCCGGTACATCGGGGCAGAATAACGAAGCGCTCCTGATGCGAGTCTTACTGAAATTCTTGAAATCACTGGTATTTTGGAGTCTATGGCATGAGAAATACTTTACTTCCTAGTAAAATGGTACGGAATGACACAGGAAAATACGAACAGTAGCTTTGAATCATGTCCGGTTACACTGTAGTCAGGAAAGCACTGGAAGGCAAATGCACCTCTTGTGCAGCGCTTGCATTTCTAAATAGCTCTTGTTTCAGAAGGAGCATCTTCATACAAGAAAATGCAAGTCTTTGTACAGAAGAATGAGCTAAGATGCCATAGTGAAATTTTCTTATCAAAGGAAATTTGAAAACTGTTAACCCAGTAGAGTGTCCCTGATCTCTGCATCCGGGATGAAAACTGCAGGATGAGATCTAGATGCAATGTGATCTTTCCAATTCGATGTGCCATACTTCACATTTAAAGAGGCTTGAAAATGATATAATGTAGAAATACAAGTTATATTTTTCTATAAATAAAACTTATGTGCATAGTTTATTCAGAGTTTCCATTTTGGGCACAACAGTAGATTTGTGCAGTGTTAGAAGGACTGTGGTGGCACCCACCCCTACAGCTGGATTCCTGCATCGAGAGCTGTACACATCCATGTGTGATTCCTTTGGGATGCAGCACGGGTACAAATGTTGTTAAATACTGACATGGTGCATTCTTTAGCAGAGTTAGAAATCTTCAGAAGGGTGCATGAAACAGATCTCCAGACTGCACTGGGGACACGCTTTGTCTCTTTCAGGCATCGTCCTTATTCTGTGTGTTTCGCGCAGTCCTGTAGATGATGGTCTGTGCTCTGTTAATGCAAAGGTAAAAGCAGACAGATAACCCTGCTCGTTCTTCCACAGCCAGTTCCAGTTACTGCAGTCAACAAAATACCAGTAGTTCTCGTAACTGCAGTGTTACAGCAGAAGTAAAGATGCTCCGTGTAATGCAAGGTAGTTCCCTTGTAACATTTAAATCCTGTCTTGCAGAAATAAAGAATTAAGCAGACGGAGATTACAATTGTTATCTGCTTTTATTGAAGAGGTGTAGTTCAACATATTCAAAACCTGTTGTTATGGTAATACAGAAAACTGTAGTAAAGTGGTGTCTTCTGAAGCAGTGAATGTGTATGTTGTTATCACAAGCGCACAGATGAGTAAATGTCAGCTGCTGTGACTGAGCTTAAAAAGTGGCAATAAAATATATTTGAAGACTGACTGTTAAGGATAATTTTACACTGTATTTGTATGTTTAGAAATAAACTAAGTACACTGTGTCTACATGATTTGAAACTTCACAAGTTAATGCAGTTTAGTGTACAGCTTATTTCCGTTCAGTGTTTGTGCCATACCTTGGTTCTCGGGGTGCTGAACCTAACTAGGCTTTCTGTAACTGTGATCTAGAATGGGTCCAGTCAGCGAATCACTTGAAAAGACTATTGGAATCTGTGTTTGTTATTAGTCCAAAGTGCTACTAAGGAGTGGGATGCTGTGTGGGTGACACTGAAATGAGGGTGATACTTAAATGTCTAGAAACACTGCAGGGTATTGCGAATCCTGACAGAATGAGAGGGCCACCGCAGTCAGGACGTGATTACAGTTACTATTAAATAGTTCATCCCTTTTTTTCCAACAAAATGTGGCTGGCAAGTGGGAGATAATGGAAAGAGGCAGGAGAGAGGTTTATGTGAGAAGGGAAATGCAGTGAACCTTCTGATACTTCATTGTGTGTAGATGGTAGGTAAGAAGGGAGGTTTTGCTCTGCATGGCTGCAGTGAAAACTGATCTCTTTCAAGAACGAATGAAGATGTATTAACCTTCAGTTGTCTCAGATTCAGGGGTCTGTTAGGACCAGTTTGTAGTTTCTAACCTGTAGATTTTGCTGCAGTGGCTCCTCAACTCCGTCAGTCTGCAGCCTACCCCCTGACAGAAGGGTATCGCTGGGAATTGTCTCTCCCAGCTCTCTACTCCCGGTTCCCCAAAATATTTCAGTTTTGCAAATCACCAGGAAAGTCTTCAGATACTGGCAGTGGTGCACAGATGGTGCTTTGGGAGATTTTTATTTTTTTCCTGTTTCTTGACAGTGTAATATTTGTTGGAAAGGCAGAAGGATGGGCAGCAGAGCAGGCAGGGATTTTCATTGATAGAGTGAATTGATCCTGGGGATTTCTGCCTGATTGCTGTGCTGTGTCGCCCTGTCAGCTTAACCCTTTGGATAGAAGAGTCTTTCCGAATTACTTGGTGACTTATGTTGGGAAATGTTATTAGCTGTGAGCTGGATTTATAGCATACTTGTTTAAATGAGTTAGACACTTAATAGAAATAAAATCACCAACTTACACAGAAATTTGTAGTGACACGTTTGCTAAAAATCCTGTTTCCTTAATAGGTTTATACTGGAGTAAGTTTTGTGTGTTGAGAAGGTATCAACTGCTACACCTCATTTGCCTGTTTAAATTCTGGTTGCTTTTGCATGCCATATTGCAGATCATTTTCATTTCTGTGTTTTCCTCGTTTGAGCTCATTTCTCATTCGTGTTTTTGTCTCATTTGTTTCCATCAGCAAATGCCCAGCACACCAGGGTTTGTGGGATACAATCCATACAGCCATCTGGCCTACAACAACTACAGGCTGGGAGGGAACCCGGGCACCAACAGCCGGGTCACGGTAGGAGAATCAACTATTACATCATCCAGCAAACAACAGGAATTGACCAGAATTGGCTTTAGAGTTAGGTTCTTCTGAATCTTGGCTGCTGCCACTTTTTTATGAAAACAAAAAGCTACTTCTGATTCTTACTCCTCACCCCTACCCTCCTTCCCTTTCACTCTGAAACCTTTTGCAGGAAAATGAACTTTTACTCAGCAGAGAAAACAATGTGGTAATTGTGTATGATGCAGAACTCCAAAAAGACAAACTTTGTGGTCTCCACTGACCACTGCATGCTTAGGGAGAAGTTCTGTAGCGTGGGTGCAAATTCTTGGAGGGGGGGAGCTGCTTATTTTATTGAGGTTTATTGGCACAAAAATAAGAACATTTGCAAACTGGAGATCGTTGGTGGTAGTTGCCTCATCATGCTATTGAGCCACACAAGAGATGCAAGCCTTTATTTTTCTTCCCAGTCCTAGTCTGGTAATAACTGCAAAGTCCCATGTTCAGAAATGATTTTTTCAACAAAAGCATGATAATGCAATAGAATCCTTTCAGACCTTATGTACTCTGTCAGTGTGTGAAAAATGGATTTTATGTTCATTTTTCATGGAGTAAACGCAGTGAGGTGGAGTCAAGTGAGGAGAGAGGTGACAGCTTCTTTCAAATACGGATCAAGTCCTGAGCATTGGACAAGTTAGGAAACAAAAACAGACTGGAAGTGTAACATTTTTCAAAACTAACACATGGAGTAAATCTCTGATGTTTTGTTGTTTGTTTTTTTCTAAAAAGTTTCTGTAATTCTCCTAACTTTAAGGTTTTTCCATGTAAAACTTTCTGTCTCAAAACATCTGATTAGTTTGGAACACGATACAAAGAAAGATTTCTCAAGGAGCAAACATACGGTGCTTTTAATGAAGCGTACTTTTTTTATGCCTCTCTTATATAAACCTTCCTTCAAACTTGATACATGAAGTTCATCTGGTTTGTTTAGAGGAAAAAAAAAAAAAAAAGAGAGACCTTCCCCATACAAGCTGGAACTTGACTGAAGGTTCTGTCAGAACATGCACTTTTTTTCCTTATACAAGAATAAGTTAGGCTTCGTCTGAGAACTTCCATTGTTTCCGTATGTCGTAAGCATACACAGCCTTCTCTGCCATGCATATATCAGTATATGTATGGTGTCCTTAAATTCCTGTTAATTTAAAAGCATTAAACAATTTCCGTTACTGTTTTCCAAATCCATCTGTATGTGTATATATGTATACATTTTGGTAATGCATATACCTCATGTACATTATTTATACACGATTCTGTAGCATTGTTTCATAGAGCTCCATAAATTCAGCAAACCAAAAAATATCAAGAGGAGAAATTTGACAGCCGAACGTGAGCTGCCGTGGCCAAACAAGTATTTGCTTTCCTGTGGCCGTAGTCCTGACAAATCTTGGAATGCTTTACGTTTTTATGAAAACACTCCCACTTCCTACAGTAAAACTGGCACGTGTGGGTGCGTGAAGAGCCGAGGTTTTCAGAACCTGCAGCTGGCAGGGGCTGTGACCTGACTGCACCATCCAGGAGAGACCCTGCCAGGTGGTCCGTGGGCTGAGGGGACAGGAGGGATGCAGCAGCTTTCCACCATCTACGGCGAGTGCTCAGTGTCCCTTTGTTCAGAGCCAGCAGTGCGCCTGACAGCGCAGACCTGCAGGAAGATCCGAGCACGGGGGGGTTTGGGCAATGAAGTACAGCTTGGGTGCAAATACCGTACACGGCGACGGAGCAGCTGCATAGGGTGCTCTTCTTTTTACAACGACAATTTTAAGTGGCTCCAAATTACCACTGACAATTTTTTCAGACAAATATGTTGCTAAAATTATTTGAAACTGAAAATGCATCTCTAACTTTGTGATCTTAAGCTTGCTCCTTATCTTTTTTTCACCTGTCCAGTAGCCAAATTTGTCAAAACAGGTACAAATAAGTTGCTCATGAGAAGGGAGGAAAGCAGCCTGCTGGGATTGGTGCTTCCGTGTACGTTTCTAAGCTGTACTTCACTTTTATTAATATGGAGCCCCTTTGAAGATACAGCCAGTTACTGCTCTGTGAACTGACAGATAAAAGGACAAACGTAAATTGGAAAAACACCACTGTGAGGACCAGCTGTAGTTAGTTCCTGTTCAGTTTGGGTAGTTCGTTCTCGTGCTGTTGCTTGTTCTCTTGGGGGGGGTGTGGTTGGTGTGTGTTACCCACACAAGAATGAGCGTTTTCCAAAACTCGTGTGTATGGAAACTGTCCGGTCATCACGTTAACAAATGGATTTATTCGGTTCTTTTATAGGCTTCCTCTGGTATTACCATTCCAAAGCCCCCCAAACCCCCAGACAAGCCCCTGATGCCCTACATGAGGTACAGCCGGAAGGTGGGTATACAGTGTCAAACAAGTCATCATAAAATTAGCGTTTGTTTGTGCTAACAATTAATTGCTGTCGTCTTAGTTTCAGCTTCTAAACTTTGACTTCTAACAGCCTGCGTGTTCTTTTAAGGGAATTGTGAAGTACAGATGCGTTGCCCTTCAGAATAAAGGCAGCAGTAGTCTGCTCATGCAGTTGCCAATTTCTGGGGGGAAAAGTTTTCTCTAAAATGCTAATTACTACCACTGTCTCTGCTGACAAGGATCCGCCCTGCCACATTCAGAAGTGCCTGTGACTTACTGACAGAACTTTTTTATGCAAAGGAAGTATTCCTTGCGGTATACTGGGCTTGGTGCAGTGCTGTAGCTGGACTGAAGAGTAGCAATGAGTGGACTTTGCATGTTCTCCTTCACCAACCTAGCCCTGGCAACGTGTACTTCGCTGTGCTATGAACTGGTTGACAGAAAGTAGGAGAGAGGCTCTTGTGGAGTCTGGATTCTGATGGGGCATGGGGAGGGCATGTCAGCCTGTCTGAAGCGGGTGAGCCAGAAGGAAATTCTTCCACTTCTGGTAAAGTATCTTTACCAGCATGTCTGTCAGGCAAAAAAAAACAACAACAAAAAAAAAAAGTCAAGTGGTGCAGCAAGAAATAACACTGGCAGCTCTCCTTTTTTTTCTCCCTATAAAGTTAGAAACTTTTTTGGTGGAGTCAGAACTTGTTGGAACTCAAATTGATCAGCAAGACTGAAAAATATTTTGAAATGTTACATTCTGATCTGAAAAGCTCAGTGCTCTTTATCGTAATCTACTGCCGGATGTGTTTACTCAGTAGCATTTTTTTTTTCCCAGAGATGCAGCGATGTGCATTTAAGAAGAGAAATAAGAGGGTTAAAGGCAATATTCTGATGAAACCAAAGCCATTTCAGCAATTGCCTGTTTCAGTAGATGGCTTCCTACTGACTTCCTGCCCCAGAAAATAACTGAGATAGTTTAGCCAAACTCATTCCTAACTTAATCCTGTTTTTCATGGTGATTCCAGAAAGAACACTGAGATGACAATATAAAATGTTTAATTTGGAAGTATTTAGATATCATTAGTAAAGCTCCAGCTGTTTCTGTTAAGGTCTGGGACCAAGTGAAGGCGTCCAATCCTGATTTGAAGTTATGGGAAATTGGCAAGATTATTGGAGGAATGTGGCGAGATCTCACTGATGAAGAGAAGCAAGAGTATTTGAATGAATATGAAGCTGAAAAGGTAAATGGAAGAAATCTGGGATGTTTATTACAGCTGATTCTTCTAGGAACTGGTCTGAGAAGAAAAATTCATCTTACCCGTGCAGTGGTGTATGAGGCATTCACGAGACCCCTGTATGTAACTTAAATGGAAGTATGTCCTGACACGTCTTTTAGATTTTTTTAAATAACTGTTCATCAACTGTGACTGGTCAGTTTTTAGACCTAATTCAAAATGAAGTATTTATAATTGAGTGTCGATTTTTAACTGTTTAATGAGTGGATTTGATTGTACAACATCAGTATTGAAAAGATTATCTCAACACCAAAATCCTCTTTCAAAACTGGTGCTCTGCAACTACTGCAATTGTCATGAACGTGTTCATAAAAGACTTCCAGTCACGTAGAGTTTGGTTTTCGTGGTGTAATCTGGTGTAACTCCACGCTATGGCGTAGTGGTTTGTTTCTTAGTAGAAAAATGCTACCACTTTCAGGGTTTCCTTGTGATTTTGTTTCGGTTTTATTGATCTTCATGACAAAAGCTGACAGCTGCCTCGTGTGTCCAGGTTGGTAAGTGGTGAGGACCTTCACAAGCCTGTTACTGTCGTCCCAAGGTACGAAGGGAAAATGTTCCAGCTGCTGTGTGGTGCTTGAACCTGGTAGGCATCTGAGGCTGTGTATAACCTGCTCACATCTAAGCTGGTTTTATTCCAAGTCAATAGAGAAGTGCTTCAAAGCCAGATGCTCTTAGTTGGAAAAAAATCAAGGAATTCTATTTTTAAACTTGGTAATGATGTTTAGATTGTAAGCTCCTTGGAGCAGGGGCCACCTTGTTTATACTTTTGCAGTGCCAAGGTAGAAGGATTCCAGTTGTAATCATAAAGAACACAAGACGTTTAGCTGCTTTTAACAATATTGTAGATGATATCTCATTTTTCATTGGAAATATCTCAGATCACTGTACAAAATCTAGACTTGGCAAATTTTAAAAGTGAGATTAAAGAAAGCAATTCAAAGGGAAAAATACTTCAAAGAAGGTGAAAATAGTGATGCAGTCCTGCTACCAGGAGGAGACAGTAGTCTGGCTGCAGCATTCTGTGTCACCCCAGTGCAGGGATGGATCAAAGAACGGAAAAATCGTAAGTTGTTTTGAAAAGTGGTTCATGACATGCTGGAATAAGGAAAGAGAAGAAATCAGAATCAAAGATCTAGTTAGAACTCCAGAGAATTGTTAAGAGTATTTTAAGTTAACTCATTTTTTTTAATCTTACCAGAGTTTGTCTGTTCATAAATGCCTTGTTCTGAGGTGTTTGAGTTTTAAATCTCAGAAACCAAAGCTTCCGTAAGGCTTCTCGGGTCTGACAACTGAAACGCACCTAAAAGCCCAGCTAGTGTTTCTAAAACACGAATGACTGTGGAAAAGTTCTAGAAGAGAATGTGGCCGTTTGTGTATGGGCAGATGATTCCCAAGAGCTTTGTCTGTGTAACTCCGGAGTGAGTTACACGGGCGGCGGTTGTGGTCGGTCCGAAGTTGTCCCGTGGTGCGATCAAAGCGTGTTGTCCCGTTTCAGATCGAGTACAATGAGTCCATGAAGGCCTACCATAACTCCCCCGCGTACCTCGCCTACATCAACGCCAAAAGCCGCGCCGAGGCGGCGCTGGAAGAGGAAAGCCGGCAGCGGCAGTCGCGCATGGAGAAGGGGGAGCCCTACATGAGCATCCAGCCGGCAGAGGATCCGGATGGTAAGCGGAAGGGAATCCCTGTGCGCGTCCAGCGAGACGGTCCCCTTACAGGACCGACTGTAGGGGAACGGAACACTGCCCGGGTACAACCTCCACAGTGCTTCACGGCTTCCTTTCTGGTTTGGTTCCTTTAATACTGGTTTTCATTATCACACTTGTTCGTACAGCTGACAGCTGACTTGGTCTCGTTTCCAAAAACTAAGGTGGCAAGCCAGGGGCAAAAATTCCTACCCTGAGTTATGTGTGCGGCACTGCTTAGTGTTCAAAACAAGCCTGCTGAAAGCTCTGCACGGGCTTTAACGTGTGCATGATAAAAGGCTGAGATGCCCGAGTGAATCCAGCTCGAATGGAATTTTGTGCTTTGTTGCCAGAGGTACGTAATTCTGACAGGCAGAGCTCGGGGGTGATTCAGAGCACCTGAACTTCATGTGCTCAACAACTGTCATTTTGTTTAGAAAATAAGTTGCCCCTGCTGTTGACAAGTTGATGAGAAAATTGTGAAGGTTTATTTGACTGCAAGGAAGTGCACCCCACCCAGTGGGAAAACTCTGACTCGTACACCTGATGTCTGCTTTTAAATTCACGACCAAATACTTGTTGAAACCTGAGGGTGAAAAATGTACTCAGTTACACCCTTTTTTTTTCCCTTCCCTCTTGTAAAAGCACACCCTTGAGATAAAGCTCATGGCAAACAGCACTTTCCCCAGTGTGAGGGTATTGCAAAATTTCTGTGACTGTTCCAGTCGCTGACGTGAACAAGTGATTTCTGTGATAGAAACGTTGCTTCTGTCCGATCCCGCGCGAGGATCAACAGCTTTGAGCACAAAAGGAATCTGATTAAGGGGACAAAGGCACTCCTTTAAGGACACCAATTTGCTTCACACTTTGCCTCTTGCTAATCTGTTGTCCTCCCACTCCACTGTTTTTCTCTTTTTGCTTTGTTTAATCAGATGCCTCAATGAGAAAGTGAACATAACACTTTGGAATAAAGCGGATAGAAGATAACTAGTTTAATTAAAGCTTCTGCGGTAAAATTTGCTGGCATGGCACGTTAGGATTCTGCTTAAGACTTCTGTGAATAGTTGGAGAGTAATCTCTGTTAGGGAGACTTGATGTAAAATAAATTCAGCTTCTGGAGTTTTCCACGTGACATCATTCTGGAAGATAGTGCACGCTTGTTGCTTAACATTTTAATACTCACCTAAACATGAATTGTGCTCACAGGAGTTTCTTCTGAGGTCGTTTCCTCACCAGTACTTGTTGCTGTTTAACTCCTGTGCTTTAAGTTCTGATTCGTTTGACTCGAAGTTTTTTTGAGTCTGTTTTGTAGATAAGTTCTTGATACAAAACCTGCAGGCTGTGGTTTGGTCTTTCTTACGTTGAAAGGCGTCGCCTGCCTTCCTTGAAGAAACACGGAAAGGCAGCACAGGAAGGCTGGTGTCTTCTATGGGCTGGAGGCTTCTGAGTGCTGCTAGATAAGGAAAACACGTCGTTTTGTTCTGATTTGTAGCATCAAACTGAATTTTACTTTTAAAATGAGTACCTAGTACAATCCCTAAGGCTGTAGCTCGTGTTAAATTCTGTAACTAGATTAAAATTGTCCAAGTTCAATATCGTGCCATAAATTGGAGGCTCTTTTAAATTGATCAGAGAGGAAAAAAAAATCCTGACCTGAAATATTGTTAGTTCTTCTTTCAGATGCATGTCAGACAAGACAGTTTACTTCCTGTTGGGCTGCCTTTAATCTCTTCTCTCCGCTTAAAAGGAGACCAGCACTTGACCTGTGTGCTTGTGTACTTTTTGTCCTGAAGTGTATTTTTTTTGCAGTAACTGTTCTTTAGAGAACTGCATTTACTAAAAAAAAATATATATATAATTGACTACTCTTACTACAGTACTATGAATTTTCAGTGATGAGTAAACGTGTATCACTGCTTTGTGCTTTCGCTCGTCAGTGTTTCAAAAACCACCTTTTTGATCTATGCTGTAAAGCTCATTTATAGAGGAGTTCCTCTCCCGTCGGTGTTTTGCCCTGGATATCCTTCTGGTAACACGATTCATCAGGAATGTGGGGTTTTATTGGTGTATTAGTAGTCCCTCTTACTCGGGAAATGTGGAAAGCAACACAGTAAGCAACTAATTTCAGACAAATGGGAAATGCATGTAAGGCCATAGCTGTTAGAGCCGTGCCAGGGAAAAGGGAGTTCTGTCCTCATGCTGTCTTTTTTTTCCCTGATTGCCCGATGTTCTATGTGTTGCTGTGAACTTGTGACATGACAACTGGTGTTCGGGTTTGTTTTGGTTTTCCTTAGTGGTAATGTGGGTACAGTGTCATTCAACTGGGTACTTATTTTGTGGGATTAAAGCAGCTGCACTTAAAACTCGTTTCAGATTACGACGACGGGTTTTCGATGAAGCACACAGCCACAGCTCGTTTCCAGAGAAACCATCGTCTCATCAGCGAGATACTGAGTGAAAGCGTGGTGCCCGACGTCCGCTCTGTTGTCACTACGGCCAGAATGCAAGTTCTTAAACGCCAGGTTCAGTCTTTGATGGTTCATCAGGTAAAGATAAACGACACGAAGGCGGCTCAAACATCGTGGTGTTGGGCTGTACTCCAAGTATCGGATCATTTGATGATCTACATGACCATTCTTGTTGGGTGTCCATGTCCTCTACGAACAGCTAATCTCAGGTTTTGTTGGGAGGTGCAAGGTGTGAGACCTCCCCCCCCCCCCCCGTGCTCTTTTGTTATCGAGAGTCGTGTTAAACTGCATTTTGTTCTTTAGGATGTCTTAAGTGCTAATTCCAGAGCTCTTCATTATTGCACATAACCCTGCCATTTGTAGTGTAATCTTCTGTTTAATAGGTCCAGGTAGAGGTGCGAGTTTAGGTAGCTTGTGACTCATCATCTTCTTTGTAACGATTCTTTATTACAGCAAATCCTCCCTATTGTAACATTTTTCACTGCAAGTTAAGTGCACACGAGGAAATGTGGCGAGGTCACAACTGCACTTTTCGCCCAGCTTCGACAGGGCACATGCCTGTGCTTCCACACAGCCTGTTAACAGAAGAACTCTGTCCGTGTGGTCAGTGCACACGCAGATGAAGGAAACTGAGAGACCAGAATGAGACAGAGATTTGTTGCTTTTTCAAATTTAAACAAGAACATTCAGGGGTGGAGAGGGGTAGTATCCCTTCTTTCCTTTGCATTGTGGTCTTTCTCCATTAGAGAATGTAACTGATGAGTTTGTATATACACCTATGGGGGTATAATATGAAAGAAAATGTGTAGATTTTATGCTGAAGATTCACCTCAAATATGTAACTGTTTTTCATTTATAATGTGCCTCACCAGTCCGGAATTACTGCACAGAGCCTTTTATTTTTCATACTTTTCAATATGAACTTCTTAGCTATTGGGTATTGGATCAAGGAAGGCATAAAGATGTTTATGTATTATATGGGTATATTTGAAAATATTAGTCTAAATATTTTTCTACGTAGCTGTAAACTTTATCCTGTTCTCCAGATGACTGCATAATAAAGTTCTTACCATTTTTTTCATTTTCCAGC